GGAGCGACGAGACAAAAACATTAAAACCCATTATAAATTAGGCATTTGTTGCATCCAGAGGGTACACAATTACGGATTATAATGACTTATACTGTCTTTTTACGAGTTGCGTTGGATCGCGCCGCGTGAACATAAAACCATGTCTGCATTTGTTATCCGAGAAATGACAAACAACAAGCGCTACTCTACACTGCCCAAAACTCGCGTTTGAATCATCAGTGGTAAATGCTTTTAATATAAAAAACTTATTTACAGTCTGTGAGTCAGAACAGCCGGCATTGTAGTCTACTCTACCAGGATCAGGAAACAGTCCTCCATAGAATGTGCTGCACAGATCTGAATATTTGGGTTGAAGTGTTCTGGAACAGTGTTGTAAATGCAACTTAACCACTGATTTCTAGTCGTGTCCTCTTTTGGAAGACCAAACAAAGCAGTTTTGCGGAGGCGGGGGCCTTTCTTCGCGTGAACATTTGGGCGACATTATGCAAATCTTCCCACATCGTGACGTAGACATGTGGGGGCGTGTTAGAACGAGCCGTTTTAGGTAGGCGTGGTTGAACTTTTATAAAGAATATCTCTTTGGATTTGAGACTTTAGTCTTTGCAACTTTACAGATCTTCTTTATGCACCAAGAGCTTGTAACACTTCAAAGAGAAAGGAAAAATTGAAATGGCATCATATGACCCCTTTAATTAAACTGGGCCAAACACAGCAGCTTGGTAGTCATGGTAACACGTGCTGAAGCCTTAATATTTCTCACACATGAAACGACCGGGCAGTGGATTTAAGACTCCTACTATGAGGAAAGTTTGGCTTAAGAATATTAATGAGATGTGACATTTCACTGGTGGCCTGCTTCAGTCTACTCAAAAATTAAAGTGATCAGTTTATCAATAAAACCAGAACACCATAATATATCGGACAAAAACAGCAGTTTCAACTAAAATGTTATTTATATGTATTTTTAAGTATTATAATAGATATACATTGTATATTGTGGTAATAAACTAATGTTTTATATATTATAAAAAGAAGTAAAATGCCACACAAACATCTGCAAGGGAATGCTCTGGTTACTAACGTAACCTCGGTTCCCTGAGATAAGGGAACGAGTGTTGCGTTGCTGACGCTCCTTACGAAAATGAACCATAGTTTTACCACAAATAAAAACAAAAATTTGCTACACTAACCATAGTTTAACCATGGTATTTGTAGTACTGTGGTTATACAAATGGTAATCAATATGCCAAAAAACCTTGGTCAGTACACTTTTACTACAATAAAACCATGGTTAATTTTCGTAAGGGATGGGGAAACTGCTGTTTACTCTGCTACTGAAGCCTGATTTGTTCACATTCGTGTAGCTGCATGAACCAATGGCGCTTCAACCCGCCAAAAGGGGTGGAGCCGACTGCTATATAAGTTGGCTCTGAGTGCCATTTGTCAGAATCTTTCGTCTGATGTGACAGTCATCGATTCGCGTTCAGCCTTATAGCACGGCAGCCTACGCAACGCTTGTTCCCTTATCTCAGGGAACCAAGGTTATGTTAGTAAATGGAGCATTCCCTTTCGAATGGTCTCTCCTGTTGCGTCGCTGATGTTTATGGAGAACATGTCCAGTAGTAACGTGCTATAAGCAAGTGCAAAACAAAGAGCATACAAAGAGCTGCTTTGAGTGCCTAAATGGTCCAGAGCGCTCAACATACTTACATACGTAACAACAACATACATAAGAGCCTGAACCGGGCAGAGTGGATTAGGACCCTGCTCCCCTTCTGAATTGGGGAGCACTAGAAGGGTGGTGACTTGTGCTCTGAATGGAATGGTGCTCGACTCTACAGTCATTAGGCCCAAACTCAAGACAGGAAGCACTGACTGACAGTGCTTGCAGGTCACCCACTCACTTGCCCAACGCTAAAGCCAGAAGGAGGGTGGTCTTAAGTGACAGGCACCGCAAGTGGCCAACTGAAGCGGCTCAAAGGGAGGGCCCCGAAGTGGACCTGAGGACTATAGACAAGTTCCAAGTCAGCACAGAATGAGGACGAGGCGGAAATCTCCGAGCTCTCCTCAGAAACATAATGACAGAAGCATAAACATAAGGTCAGTTCTGCCGATTGACATGCCAGCCACGAGAGAATGATTTGCCATGATGGCTGCCACATATACTTTGAGCGTGGAAGGGTTGTGCCCCTTATCCAGTAGCTCTTGTAGAAAAGTTAGCACGGAGGACACGATGCAAAAGGATGGGTCCTTGTTTCCGTGCTGCACACCAGTCAGAGAAGACTGACCATTTAAGGGCATAAAGACGTCTTGTAGACGGGGCTCTAGCCTCCAAAATGGTTGCTGCATAGACTCCCGTCAAGGGGCCAAACATGAAGGCTCCACAGCTCTGGCCAGGGATGCCAAATCATGCCCTTCGTTTGCGAGAAAAGGTCCGTCCACAGTGGTATTGGCCAAGGGGCTGCCGATAGCAGATGAATCAACTCGGGG